GCGGCCCCAGGGCCCGGTGAGGGCCTGCACGCAGGTCCCGTGGCCGCGGGCGGCGGCCAGCTGCAGCGCCGTGAGGCCCGCACGGTTGGTGCGGTCGAGGCGCAGGCCGAGGCGGCGGAAAGAGCGCACCAGGAACTCGAGCACCGCCCCATGTCCGCACGCCGCCGCCCACATCACGGGGCTGTTGCCTGCCGAGTCGGCCGCCTCGGGGTCACCGCTGAACTGCACCAGCAGCTGCACGGCGTCCAGGTGGCCGCGCTCACACGCCAGGCTGAGCGCCGTGCGGCCGCGCTCGTCCCGCAGGTTCACGGCCGCACCCTGCTCCAGCAGTAGCCGCACAAAGCGCGCGCGCAGCGCGGGGTCCGGCAGCCCCACGGCCACCATGAGCGGCGTGCGGCCCTGCTCCGCGCGGCAGTCGATGATGCTGCGGTCCAGAGCATCCAGCACAAAGCGGGCCAGGTGCACTTTGCCCGCCTGCATGGCCTCAAGGAAGGTGCGCGTACCCGCTCGGGGGCACAGGTCCTTGGGCTTGAGCATGGCCCCGGCCACCGCGCCCAGGCGGCCCGGCAGCTCCGCACGGGGGCGCCCCGCGGGGCTGTGGCCCCCGCTGGTGCTCTGTTGTGGCTCTCTCCGCGCGTGGGAAGCTGCGGCCGAGTGTCCTGGGCTTCCCACTCTTGTGCCCCCGCGGCTCCCGCTGCCCCGCCGCTGCTGGGCCGCACGCCTGGCGTCTCGTTGCTCCTTCCCTGGGCTTCCCGCCTGGAGGTGTACCTTGCTCGCTACTCCGAGCTCCGCGCCTGGCCCGCCACAAGACGACGGGAGACGAAGCTCAGCCACCTCCTGACTCTCCTGCTGCTCTCCCCGCGTCCGGCGCTTCTCAGTCCCTCGTGGCTTGGAGCCGCGCCACTCACCCGCACCCAGGGCAGCCCCCACTCCCCTGCTGAGACGGTGGTGCCCGCCGAGCGCGCCTGCCTCCAGCCCTGGCGGGGCGCGCCGCTCCTCAAGCTGCTGGCGCCGCTCCTCCGCCTCCTCCCTCTCGCGGGGGCCGGGCCACGCCAGGGCGCTTGCTCCTTACTTGGGGGGCTCAGCGGCGCGGGAGCCGCCGCCTGCCTGGATACCTGGCTTTATAGCCTCGGGGGTCTCCAGGGCAATGGCTGCCTTGGAAGCGGGCTGAGCCGTCAGGGCAGAAACGGAGCGGGCGGGGGAGACCATCCCTGACCCCCACTCCTTCGTAGGCCTCGATGTCGGGGAGCGGCTCCTCCTCCGCGCTCCCCTGGGGCTGCGGCGGCGGTTGCGGGGCGGGGGTGGGGGCTGCTCGCTGGGGGCCACATGCACCGATCGAGCCAATCCCAAAGTCACAGTCTTCTCTCCCTGCCTTCCGCCCCCACCAGAGTCGGTGCCCTAGGCTCCTTAGAAACTGGCGGGACCTCGGGCCCGTCGGGGAAGACCGAGGGCTGCCTCCAGCCGTCCGGGTGGAAGGAAATGGGACCCCATGGGGGCGGAACTGGACCATAAGCGAGTTAGGGGTGGCGGCGAAAGGCGGACGGCGAGTGATTTAATTTGGGGGAGGGGGTACCTGCGCTGCGCGCGGAGTCGGGGGCGCTCAGTCTGGCTGGGAACTGCCACTCGAAGCGTAGCGAATCACGCAGTCACACACAATTGTTCCTCCCGCACACGCTCACTCAGAGCGGGGGTGGGAGGAGAGTGTGCTCTCCAATTTCAACGTCTCCAACCCCGACAACGCGCCCGCGTGCCAGCTCCCGGCGGCTGAGAAGCAGGCGGAAGGGAGCCTTAGGATCCAGGAGTGCGGCAGCCACGTTACCAACTCCCCGCGCCGCCTCCCCGCTGCTTCAGGACCGGCCGTCACCCCGGAGAGAGCGTGGACATACGAAAGGCACCCGCATGGTCCCGTCTCCCTCCGGAGCACAAAACCACGCCCAGACCACAGGGCTCTGACCTTGACCACTAGCTGACCCCCTCGGAGAGGAAGAAGAGGAAGAGAGCTCCAGTCGATAGGGTGTGGAAAAACCACTGCATCTCCTCTTCCTGTGGCCCGCTGCTCAGCCCTGAGGGGCGGGGGTGCGAAGGCCTTGCTTGAGGGGAGTCAGGGCGCCTCACAGCCGCAGGGAGGTGGGGGGGGTGTAGGATTGGAATGGATATTTGTAAAGTGAGATATGAATCAGGTACCAACTACAGAATTTACTGAGACATTTCATGAGCCAGGTATTGTGTTCCCAGCTGTGGGAAATACAGAAGCAGAAGTTCAGTTCTGGATGCAAGAGACCTCTGCTCTCAAGCGGGAAGACAAGCCCAGGACACAAGAGGTGGAGGTTATCACCTGAGGGCTGAATGCGTCTGTTAAATACAAAACTGAGACAGTCCTTAGAGGAAAAGTGGGGAGCGAAGGGCTCCGGGGTCTTCTGTGAACAGGATTTCCGAGATGGTCTTCAAGCATGTGTGGGATCTGGCTGCTAAGAAATAAGGAAGACATTCCAAACGGGGTTACTGAGGCAAGGGCATGGAAGCAGGAAAAACACCTTTAGGGGACAGTGTTGAGCGCTGCTCTAAAGGGCCCCTTTCTATGAAAGACAGGGAATTAAGGGAAGAATAAAGGTGTCCTCAGCCTGGGCAGAGCAGTGACAAAAAGCCGTGCAGCAGGAGCTGCCTGGGGAAAGGTATGGGGTGAAGAGAGGATTGGCCTCTGGGAAGAAGACGGTGGGCCCAGGTGAGTGACATGGCCCTGCACCCTGAGCTTCTTGCCTCTCTCTAGGCTCCAGGGATGCCCACCTGGCATCCAGGGCCCAGCCAGGGAACGGGGGCTCCACTTCCCTCTGTCCTGGGGGGAGCATGTGATGTGTACCTGTGCACACTGGGAAGCCCCCCTTTTATCTTTTTGCTTTTTTTCTTTTGGTGAGGAAGATCAGCCCTGAGCTGACATCTGATGCCAATCTTCCTCTTTTTTGCTGAGGGAGATTAGCCCTGGGCTGACATCCGTGCCCATCTTCCTCTACTTTATATGGGACGCTGCCACAGCATGGCTTGACAAGCGGTGCATCGGTCCATGCCCGGGATCCAAACCGGCGAACCCAGGGCCTCCAAAGTGCACTTAACTGCTGCGCCACCAGGCTGGCCCATCTTTTTTCATTTTTTTAATCCTCCTGCTCAGGACTCTGCCAGTTTTCTCTCACGGTGTCATAGAAAGGGCACAATATTTGACATCAGAGTTAAATCCCTGCTTGGAGGCATTTACTAGCAGAGTAGCTCCAGGCCTGCAGATTCTCATCTGCAAAATGAAGCCAATAATACCAGCCCTGCCTGCTTCGCAAGAGCAAGCTAGAGAGTGTGGGGGAAAGAGCTGCACAGTGACTCCTAGTGCAGAAAGCCCAATCCCCCCTCCAGACCTGGGGGCCCCTCCTGGGGTGTTGCCCAGGGGTGGATATAGACTCTCCAACCCCAGTAGGGACACAGGAATGGTCTCCCTGCAGAAGAAAGGCTTTTCTTCCCTTCATGACTCAATTCCTCTTTCCTGCAGCATGAAGGAAATTGCCTCCTTTCCTTCTTTCTGTTTCCAGAGGAGGGGGGGGAGGGGGCTGGAATCTGTGTGTGGCAGGCCAGCCTGACAAGCCAGGCAGCGACCCTCCCACGTGGAGGAGAGAAGCAGCACCTGGAATGGGCACCTCTTTGGTCCTAAAGAGCTGCGCTGCTTCCTCCCTGAGACAACTCCGCCTCATTTACAGCCCTGTTCCCTGTGGTGGATGGAGACAGTTCCAGGGAAGAAGAGGAGCTGGGGCAGGTCCCCATCAGGCCCCTGGCCTGACAGAGAGTGCCATGCTGGGTACTCTTTGGAAGGAACAGCCGGTTCCATTTGCCCCAGCTGGCTTCCATTTGCCCCAGCTGGCATGGCCAACCCAGGCAGGCCTGTGGCGGGATGGGATGGTGGCGCCAGGTCTCAGGCCCTGGGGCCTGTGCTCTGACTTCCCTGTGGGCTCAGTATGTTCTGAACAGAAAAGAAATAGCACAGCTGAAAAAAAGCTGAGACTTTGCTGCAGAGCACAGAGGCACCAACAGCCCGAATTAGAAGCTGTCGCTTAGGGAGCTGAAGGCTGACAGGAGATGGAGCCGAGGGAGGCAGGGGGCAGGCAGGCCCTCCACACACCCCTCCCCTCCCACCTGCTGAGCCTCTCCTCCTGCAGGCCCCAGGCTGGCAAAAGGGCTTCCTCCCAGAGGCAGCTCAGGTCTGCAGTCTGTCACTCTGTCTGCAGCTGCCCCCCTCCCAGGCCCCCTTTCTTCCTCAAGTGTCACCAGCCCCCTCAACCTGTCATTGCACCAGCTTAGCAGGGCTGGGCCTGGTGGCACGTGGCTGGGAGATCCAGAGAGCTGGGGGGGGGGGTGCAGGGGGCGGGGTGAGTCAGCAGGGGACTCTGGTATCTGAGTCAGCAGTGGAATTGGAAAGGGGGTAGGGACACTTCTCTTTACGCAAAAGGTGAAACTGAGGCATGACGGGTGGACAGGGAATCTCGCCTCAGCCTCATAGATACGCAGCAGGAATGGAATCCAGGTGCCCTCCTGTCCCAGTACTTGAGGGAGGGCATCAACATTTCCTCTGACATCCCCTGCAGCCAGAGACGAATTCATCTCCAGGGCCCAGAGACTATGGCATTTTCCCGAGGGGGCACCCCCTGCCCTTTTTCCAGAGGACAGAAAGCAGGGAGGTGGGTATCTGGGCTCAGCCTCAAGGGAAGCCCCCAGCCTGCTTTGCAGAAGCCTCTCCAGGAGGCAGGATTGCATCCCTTCCCCATTCCGGGCTTCCCAGCTCCAGACTGGGGGTCCAGAGACTCTGCCAGGCCTGGCTGAGGGGCAAGGGGAAGGCAGTCTCCTTCCCCTGAGCAGTCATTGGCAAAAGCTGGGGGCTGCGCATTGGGCCCTATTTGGCGCTGGCTCTGGCTTATGCCCCCACGCCCAGGTCAGTGAGTTCTTCTAGGCCTGGAGCCTCATCCCTGGGTGGTTCTACCCCTGGGTTGGGGGGAAGATGAGGCACCTGAGTGCCCAGCTGGAGGGCTGAAGACAGGGCACTGCCCTGGGGTGGAGGGGTCCCACCCTCAGCTGCATCCAGTGTGTCTGCAGGCTGATCAATGACAGACCTTACTCCTGGGAATGAGCAGGGCCCCCCCCCCACCTCACCCTGCAGCCAGGGACCGCTAGGATCCCAGAGGCAGGCCCCCAGAGGGACGGTGGGGTTCCTGTTTATTTTCCAAAGGCACAGGTGCTCACAGCTAATGGCGTTGCTATAGCTGTCTGATGGGAAAACAACCTCTTCCCAGAATCAGCCCCCACCCTGCCTCTCCCAAGCCAGTGCCTGTCCCCATTTGGGATTTGGAACCATGTCATAGGTGCAGTGAATGGCTGCCCACAAGCCCCTCTACAGCAAGAGTGGGGTCAACCATGACTGCCACAGGGGCCTGAGAATCTGACCACTCTGTCTGCCTAAAGGGGCCCAGGAGGCCTGAAGGTTTGCGACTCCCCAAGAGGGTGGGGGGCACCTTTATATTAGGCTCTTCTGCTCCAGCCCTGAGGGTGGAGACAAGG